GAGCAATCAGTTCTTCTGAAAACAAGGTTTTAAACTTATGACTAAATATGCTATCATTAGCCAAACACTACAGCTTGGCTAAGTCTTTACCCAAGCAATATAATAAATTCAAGATCTCTTTATACTTTGTGTAATTCTAGTTACTTTTCAAATGATACGGCAGTTGTATAGTACTAGCTCAATTGCTTTTGACTGTCCATCAGCATTATTCCTATGAGGAATCTGGCTCTCATACCTCTTTTCTGCTCCCACGGAAATCAGTGGCAAATTTCCTGTGACTTCCTTTATTAAAAGCAGAAGAGCCAGTAGAGGGAGCACAAATACATAGAAATAAATTTTCTGTGGTTCCGATAAAAATGATAATGTGTACTATTTTTTCATAGAGTATTTGCACTACTTTTTTTCCCCTGATCAAAAGTACTGTCTTGCTCAGGCTCCAACAGATGTAGGTAAGGAGGCTCTGTGCTGTCTGGTGGCCCTTCCTGCAAGCCCTGGGACCATCAGGACTTTTGTGTGAGGGGCACAGGCTGGACCTTGTGAAACTGATCTTGGCAAAATAATGTTTTCTACCGACACAGCACTGCTGGGCAGACCAGCACAGTATGGGGCACATCTTTGGCTCTTGGACATAGCCAGAGCTCTGTTGACTGATGATCTCTGCCAGCTGCTCGTTGCACATGAGCACACAGGTTGGGTGAACCAATACAATATGGCTACACAGCGACCTTCTACCTTGAACCCCTGCTCATTCAGCAAGCTGCAGCCTTCAGCAGCAGTTTGTCCTTTTACGTGAGCCCAGCGCCACTAACTGTGCAGAGAAAGGTCACGCCTCTGTCCCCTCTCTGCCCACTGATACTATGGCAGACGTTTGCCTGGAAGAGGTTGCTTTGCTGCAGGACTCAGCAGGTGCCTTGCTCTGCAGGTGAGAAAGTCTCAGGGAATAATACAGGAGCCCTATCCTCCTATTTACTTCTAAATTTCATGGGTTTCAAATGGGATCTCAGGATTGCTATACTTTTTGAGAGCTTCCCCCATAAAGGAGGGAAAGATCTAATCTCTTCAGGGGACTGATCCCACCCCACACACCCCCAGGAAACCAAATATAAACTGCTGAGTTTCTTATTCCATTGTCAGGCTTTCCCATGCTGGAGAACAGAGAGCCTGTCCTGCCATCCATCCTGCTTTGTTTGAAACCACATACATGCAACAATTGCAAAAGCACTTGCCACTAGTGTAAATCTGCTTCCATTAAAGAAAATAGAGTTAGATAAATGACAAGTGCTTTGGAAAATGCCTCTGCTAGATACCACAGAGGACAGGATGGAAAAAAAGAGTATGTAACCAATTGGTTGTGAAACATTTTCAAAACAAACAAAAAAGTCACCTTAGAGATCCATTGGCTCTCCACTTCTAAATTTAAAAAAAAAAAATTAAAACAAAATAATCAATTTGGAGTTCAGGGGGCCCTGGGATTCTCAGAAACACACAAAAGACTGCTACCTGCGACTGGAGGTGCAGGCAGGACTACCAAACAAGCACTACCAGCAATATGATTGCTAGCTGAACATTTAAGTGAGTGACGCTTTTATAAGTACCTTTTTGGTAATCACATCTGACGTCTTTTTCATCCTCAGTTTCCTCTCTTTCAGAGAAAAAAGGTGGCACTACAATCCTTTGCTCTACAGATGTGGACAAAACTAATGAATTTGACTTTAGAGTACTATAAAAAACCCCACAGAAATATTTTTGGACCTCGGTGAAGTTGCTGCACCCATGGTGAAGTTTTTGAACTACCTGGTGCCTTACACTGAATACTAATAATTTCCTTAAATATACTTTCTGTCTATGCAAATATGCACAATTGTATCTGATTTTCCAGTGAAGACACCTAGTACGTTTTTATATTTTTGTTTTCTCTGCACTTCCAAAACATTTCAAACTGTGGTCTACTAGGTGACCACTAACCAAGGAACTGAACTTTACAGGCCACCAGATGGGCCTCTCCTGTCTCATATTCCTACTGCGCTTTCGCTGCAGAACATTTCTCATTTGGCCCTATATTGACCTTTAAAAAAAAAAAAGAATAACTGGATAACCCCATAATATATAAATAAGTTATATGCCATTATAACTACACATATCATAGAATCATGGAATGGTTTGGGTTGGAAGGGACCTTAAAGGTCATCTAGTTCCAACCCCCCTGCCATGGGCAGGGACACCCTCCACTAGACCACATTGCCCAAAGCATCATCCACCCTGGCCTTAAACACTCCCAAGGGGGGGGCATCCACAACCTCTCTGGGCAATCTGTTCCAGTGCCTCACCACCCTTACAGTAAAGAATTTCTTTATAACATCTAACCTAACTCGACCTTTAGTATTAGTATACACTAATACACTATATATGATAAATTCATCTTTTGTTATTAAAGAGTCCACAAGGAGTAGAAGATTTCTGTGCATTTGTTTTGATAATTGTTCAGGCTACAGATGCTTTACCTGCTGGCCTGGTTTGAGCGGCGATAGTGTTATTCCCTGGGTATTGATCACTGGGAGTATCTGGTTGCCGATGACAGTAGCGATGATCTGACCCTGGGCGTTGGTCAATAACTGTGGAGTTATCGGCTGCACCTGAAGTCCCTGAGCTCCACCTGCCGCCTGGCTGGAGGGGACTGGATTAGGCATCAGTGGGATTGTTCCAATAATCTGGGAAAAATGACACAGAAAGGGAAAATGCACACATGCCACATACTTGCCACACATAATTACTTGGTTTATGCATGTTGAATCAAACTTAGGTGAAATAAGCACAGAGACACAGATATGACACGCTGAGGGTGGGAAACAACTGCTCCTTTACTGGGGTGATGAGGACTTTCAAACTCATTTGTCACATCACGTATCACCAGTACGTTTTACCACCATCCACCGTCATCTCCAACAAATCTGCTGTGGCCAAGAGTGCGTGAAACAAATACCAGATCACACTCTAGCTGCTGGATGATGCTTTGTTCCCACCTCTCATTTGAACAGAGAGTGAATGCAAATCAGTCCTGTTTGTCTTGCTATCTACAAGTCATCCGTATAATGTTATTACCTGTGAACCGATAAACTTACATAATTTTCCTTGACTTACTGATACCTAGTACTCTAGATGACCACCTATGGCTCCCATGCGATCTCAGGGAGGAACAAAGAGATACAAGTGCCTTTCAGGACATGGCTTATTAGGATACATTCATAAAAATGCAGGTGCTTTTGGATGACAACTAAGTAGTACAACACAACGGGAGGGCTGCTGTTAGATAAAACATTTTAGCTAACATTTCTGGGGCAAGTACTTGCAGAAAGAGACACTTGTGACATCTCAGATTTGAGAATACAGTGATATCCCAAAATGTGAATGTGCCTGTAAAACTAATATTAGAATGAGATGTCAAGTAGATACTGTAAGAAAGCTTGTCAGTCAATAAGCCGCTAGATTGAAGAAAGTTACTCTGTTGGAAGACTTTTTACAAGTATTAAGAGCATCTGAAGCAAATTTCCAACGAAACTTGGGAATAAAACCGAACTTTTTTTTTTTTTTGCAAACAACAACAAATGAAGCCAGAGTCATAGGATTATTGCAAGAGGAAAAGTAAAAAAAAAAAAAAAAGGCAAACACATCTCTACTTCCTTGGGGACTCTGAGCCCCCAAGAAAGCATCTATTCCCTTGTAAGGCTTCCAGTCTTCCCTGTCCAGAAGTCTTGCTTTCTCCTCTTTATCCTCAACATCCACCACACTGCATGTCCCTGCGGTCCCCCACTAGTATGATCCCAGTTGCATCACGTACCTTGACTACTGTAGACCTACTTGGTTGCTGAGAAATAGCGTTTATTACGGCTGAGTTCTCCCTCTTTTTCCTCAGTGGGGATATTAACAGGGTAGCTTTCCTCAGTCTATCTGCTGATTCTCATTCCAATTAGGAGCTTAATCATCTTTTTACATCTCTTTTATTTCTGATAAATTTTGTTGAAATTGGTCAGCTGTTTCAAAGCTAATAGGTAGGTACGGAGAGATAGATGGATGGAAAGATGGAGAGGAGGATAGACAGCACTAGCCATAAGACTCGATTCTTCAGGAAAACAGGCTAAATTGTTTCTAACGAAACTTGAAGGCGAACTTGTCTCCAAAACAAACATATACCATTTCTATTGATTTAAACTATTAATGTGTATTATCCCAATGGGAACTGTACAATAAGGTGTAAAGTAGCTCTAAAATGACCGTTTAGTGAAAACATCAGTGGCTTTGTGGGCAGACCACTAAGTTACTTTCCGAGAGTGCAGAGCTAGAGGAACAACTCTGAATCTCTTGCTAAAGATATAAAAAGGATACATGTATGAACTGTATTGTGAAGAACAGCAGGGATCCGTGAAGACCTCTGCACATTTAAATCACCAGTGGTGATATACAAGCACCCCCAGAAAATCCATCCTTAAGAAAGCATTATTCGATGATATCCAACTAACTCAGGCACAGATGGAGGAGCAAGAGGCTCTCATCAGAGGATCACCCTCTTCTTTCCGTTATTAGGCTAAGATATCAATCAAGTGACAGCGTCCTAATGAGTGACTGCTCCTTCAGCAATAACAGCCCAATGGTGTGCCTCCAGGTAGGCTCAACTGTGAAGTACAACGTGACAGCTGAAACCTTGAGTGAAAAGAGTGCACTTGGTTAGCTACAGCAGCTCAGCTAACAAGTGGTAAGTGCTGAAGTCATCGTCAATTTACCAAACTTCCCCAGTAAGAAGTTTGGATGGGAAGACCAGGGAACCATAAAGAAAAGCAGGACAGCTCTCCTATGGCAGGACCTGGTAAAATGGGAAGCCCACCTACTAAGCTGTATTGTAAGAGCTGCATATATCAAAACTGTTCAAAACACTGTAAAGATATCATTTAAGCTCTCCTTAATGCATTCCTAAAAGGTAGACAGATCAATAAAGATTATTACCCCCATTTTACAGAGCATGAAAGTGAAGCATGATGGAACATCTTCAGACAGAGGTGGTGATTTGGAGAGTTAGCCTTCTAAGCTGGAATTGCCGGTGAGCTTCTCTCTGCAATCACAGTACTTTTGTATTTTTTTAAGGTGTCCCTAGCTGAACTGCAGCTGCTTTACTGTCTATGTGAGAAGATGACTGTTCACTGAGGAGGGAGACATTTATTTACATTATTATCAGATTTCACAATGTTTTCTAAAATGTCACTTTCAGCATGTATTAAATACAACTTTCATGCAGTGCAACGTGTAAATTTCTCCCATTTTTTGGTGACCTAAAATATTTATGGGTCACAAATATATTCTTTCACTTTTAACAAAATGAAACCAAACACAAGGAATAATAATTCTTAATTTTATCAGCAGAAACATAGCAAAGGCCTCTCCTTCCTTTGCCATGTGAGTAAAGGACTTGACCTTGGAGTGTCATTACTCCAATGTAACTTTAACTATCAAGGTCCTAATCCTAGCAAAGCAAAAAATGCTGCGCTGGTGTTATCAGTAATAGAAATGTTTGCATTCACATTTAAAATGCATTTCTTGGACTGCAGTTGGACATTTTATAGAATGACAGTGCTGAAGTGGACAGTTTGTAAGGTCACAAGCAGAAGGCTATCTATATGTATTAATGTGTGTCATGCACCATTCCGTACGTGCATGCAGCCAGAAACGGAGCAGGGAAAACACAGCTGGGAGAGGTGTTCCAGAAGGACAAATGAAAAAATGCCCTTAGGGGTGTTACCCTAGGAGCTGAGGGTAAATCTGAATGGGAAACAGTTTTTCCACTTTCTGACACTCTGAAACTTACTGAGATTGCAATCCCCCCACCCCCCCATTTTATACCAAAATAAAGTAAAATCTCATCTGGTTAAAAACAAGACATCCACTTGTTTCTACTTAACCAACTCCTTATGGCATGCATCTTTGATACAGCTAAACCCAGATTCAAGTTTCCCCTTTCAAGTTTCCCCTTTCAAATCCATTCTTATTCAAGTACCTTCTCCTAAATACCCTCACAGCTCCCCGATTCACACATAGGGAGGAGTACTGAAACTGGATCCCCTCCTCAAACCTTGTGTGACTGTCCTGATGCTGGGCTAGATCCCTCTTCCTCTACTTTTGATACGAAATTTCACCCTGGGCCTTGCTATCTGTCCTGTTAAAGTATCATAAAAGCTGGCACTTCATTAAAACAACTTATGGTTTTGATACATTTAAATTTTCTGAAGAAATAAAACAAGATCATGAGACACTGGCATGCCACAGTACAGACTATTTAATTGCCACTAATTTCCCCAATGGGGAGGCATTGCTCCCTTCTAGCAAATGCTGCTATTTCAGATTATATTCAAGGACAGTTCAGGAATAGCATGTGACAGAGACTTATCCCACAAGACACTTACAGAATCACACAATCACATGATGGTTCATCTAGTCCAACCCCCCTCCCATGGGCAGGGACATCTTTCACTAAATTAGGTTGCTTAAAGCCCTGTCCAACCTGAACTTGAGCACTTCCAAGGATGGGACATCCACAACTTCTCTGAGACATAGCAGAAGAGGCTTCTTACTCTGTCAATGTTTGGACTCAAATTCAAAAACAATCCCACCTGTCAAACACGTTCTGGAGCAAACACACACATCCCTAAAAGTGCTCATGCTACAAAAATATAATTAAAATAAGGTTTGGGGTTTTTTACACTATGGATGCGACTTTCACAATTCCTTGTATACCTTGTACAACTGAAAGCAAGCACTCAGTGTTCTCAGAGGAGTTGCAAAACAGGCATCACATGCAAAGGAACAAATACGCAGTTTTGAATGTCCAAGGGATGATTCAAGGGACCCCGTTGTCAATGCTCCATAACCTCTAAGGGAGTCAGGCACAGTAATCTGCAGAGCGCTGTTAATTAAATTAAAATAAATTACACCTGGTTGTATCTGTCTGAGGTACAGGTTCCACATATAGGCACAAAATGTAGTGCAGAAGTGACACTGGTAATCCTACCGATATATTTAATGTAAATTCAGACCTCGGCTTTTTTAAAGAGACAGGGCTTTGGTCCATCTCTAAAACACCAAGACTGTAATTCTGGCCCTGTTCAAGTGACAGAGTGTTGCCAGGAGCCTTGGTGGAGTCAGATTTTCAGTTCAAGTATTCACAGTAAGATTCTTTTTTTTTTGTTTATGGATTAATAGTTCATCAATTGCATCTTGAGGTGCTTACAGAGCAGTTTTTACAGATGTTAATTTAGGTTTTTATGCTTCCCATTGTTAACTAAATTTTAAAACTCAATGATTTGTTTCCAACTTCAAAGGAAATTCAGGTTGATTTTTAAGAGCATCTGAGTATCTTCCACTGATTAATCTGTTAGTGTCATTTTAGCATCCTAGGATTACAAGATATCTGAGATCAGACCTCTCAAATCTTACCACTTGAATATGCCATTGCCAAGACAACTTCCGCGATTAACTGTTATTTACATGAAATAAAGTTGTAAGGCTTGGCTTGCACAAGAAGTTAATTTGTGGATCAGCTCCTACATACCATCTGTGGGCTCAGTGGTATCTACCTACATAGTCCTGCAAACTATAAAGTCATCTGAAATGAAAGAATAAGCACACAATTAAAGCGAAGGTAAAATCCCAAAGATTTTGGAGCTGA